TATGTAATTCAGATTTCTTATACTGAAAGATTGCCCGATTTTACACAAGTTACGAGTATTTTAGCGATATTTAATTCAATAGAACAAGAGGGATTAAAAATTGAAAAGAACGAATCGCAGATTCTTAATCGACCGACGACGTTAACGATTCAACGATTCTGAAGAAGTTTTCACTTCAAAAGATTAAGTTTACTAAATTAAAAGGATATACAGTGGAATTCCGGTAATCCGACAAACAGTTTGCAGGGCATTGTCGGATTAGCGAATTTGTCGGATTATGGAGTGCTGCCTACGACCCTATACAATCCGGAACTTTTCACAAAAGAGTACCTGGTAATCCGACAAATTACAAATTCAATGAGAAGATTTATTGATTTAAAATTTAGTAAATTAAACAAAAAAAAATAGAAAAATTACGTTTTGCATATTATAAAATTTACGTCATTAATGCTATAAAACTTACAAAAAATATGCAATACAGTAGAATCCGTTTATTATGACTCCGCTTATATTGACCAACCGGTTATTATGACGTACCTACACTACCAAGTTTGGTTTTCATATAAAATTCTGTATAAAAAAAGTCGGATATAATGACTTCGCTTACAGTGACATGTCGCTTATTATGACCCATTTTTAACAGATTATGTCCGGTTATATTGACCAACATGATTCTTTACACCTCCGGTAATGTTCGTTGATACCCGACGACGTTCGACACGTGGCGAACTTTTTATATTTATTGCTACATTTCTTTTATGATTGTCAAATTACTTTTATGTATTTACTATCGGAAAGGCCAAATGCTTAAATAATAAATATAAGCATTCGGGCAGCAGTACCTTGACCACGACTTAATCCGTATTTTCCATTAATCCGAATTTGGCGTGGGTCATTCGACAATCTCAATGCTTTTTAAAAAACAAGAACCGCATTAAGCAATCGTTCAATTCAAATGTTTTGAAACCGAAGAGGCTTTGAAAATCACAAGAAAATTAATTAAATGAAAAAACAAAAGCAGAAAAAAATTACAGATTACTTGAAGTAAAAAATACACTTGTATGTGTTATAATATGCTGATTACGTGCAATTTTGATTTTGATTTAATATGTATGAATATGTACATCTTCTATATATATAAAATTTGCGTGTCACAGTGTTTGTTTCCATACTCCTCCGAAACGGCTTTACCGATTTTTACCAAATTTTATATGCGTATTCAGTAGGTCTGAGAATCGGCTAACATCTATTTTTCATACCCCTAAGTAATAAGGGTTGTTCACCCTTAACTTTTTTTTAAATTTTTGGACAAATTCTTTTGTTTTTATTTTTTTTTTATAATGTGGAATTAAAAAATACATACAACCCTAAATTTTTAGTTTTTTATCACCAACCCCTATTTCTTTATAGCCATTTTAGTAATTTAATCATTTTTCATTCCGCTCAAAGAAAATTTTTATATGCGTATTCAATAGGTCTGAGAATCGGTAACTTCATATCTCTAAGTGATAAGGGTTGTTCACCCTTAATTTTTTTTTAAATTTTGGTCGAAATTTTTTGTTTTTATTTTTTTTTAATGTGGCATTAAAATATACATACAACCCTAAATTTTTGGTTTCTTATCACCAACCCCTATTTTTTATAATAAGTAAGTTACTTTTTGTCTACAATAAAATTTATCTAGAAACTAGAAATAATTTATATGGCAAAACAACGTTTGCCCGGTTAAGTAGTATTTACATAAAAAAGGGATTTCATTTCACAAAACGCTTTGTATGACGTCCGCTTATTATGACGTGTTTGTCAATTCCCTTCGATGTCATTATAACCGGACTCTACTGTAATTTTACATTAGGAAATAAAAGTGTACAAATAAATGTACCTACTAAAATAATTAAAATTATGAATCAATCAATTTTAGAAGAATTAAAATATTCGTAATTTTTTTTGTTTAATTTTAAGTCCAAACTGAGCAATCAGATTTAAAACTATACCCGTCGCCTCGAGCCTCGAGTAGTGGTACGTACAAGTTATAACTTGTTCATTCACGCATTTGCGACCCTTGTTGTCGGATTACAAGAGGTGCAGGATTAAGCCGGGTCCGGATTACCGGGATTCCACTGTACTACATAGCAAATAACAACAAGCGTGAAATGCAATAAATAAATAAGGAAAGAATAATTTTATTATAAATTTACCATTGTCGCACACAACGCAACGAAAATCACGCCGACAGCAGCAGGAGGAAAAATATCCTTGAACATCCGTTACTACCTAGTAAGGGCGAAGGTTGTTTGCACCGAGAGGCACACACGCATGTCGCCACATGTACTACTTTTGCCAATAAACCGAAAACTAAGTGAAAATTCCATCTCGCAGGCAGCGAAACACGTTCGACGCGACGATCAAAACAAATTGGGCAGGTAACACAACCGCACTAGATCACAACACGCGAGTTACTGATACCTGGACATACCTGCATCAAGAACCGCAATCTTGCAGCAATATACGCATGAGTGTTGATTTACACTCACGGAACATGAAATAAAGTTGAAAAATCTTAGAGTTTAACTTGAGGACAAACTGTGTTAAAATCGATATAAACTACATTCTTAAATATGGTTTTATTTTTAATAAAATCATATTAATTTCAAACTACATCAAATTTACAGCGCATTGTAAAATCACAATTATACTAGGCTCAAAATTAATTTGAATGAAAAAGATAAACTCCAGAAAGCAACCGTTTTGCTGAGCAGTTGAATAAACAAAAAGAAAATCCAGTATAAATGAAATAAAGAAGCCCTTCCTCTTAAAACGACAAAAAAGAAAAAGTCGACTTGTTGACCAAAACAATTCATAAAAAATAAAATACCCAATAATTAAAACATAAAACAAATTGAAGCTGAAATGCTTCCTGTTATACAAAGACATTTATTACTTAATATTGTTTTCGATAATTCTGTATAATTATCTTACAATTATAATATAAACAACTATAACTATTTACAATGCAACTTCGTACAAGTTATCCATACAAGTCACCTTCATATTCGTGTGTTTACGACGTCGGTGTGTTGTATCTCATCGGATTTAGTTCAATTTTCAATATTTCTTTCCTTATATATCTTCTCCTCAATCAATCGTCATCATAATCAATAAAATTTCTTTAAATATTTAATAAATACATACCTAATCAATGTATATTTTTATTAATATAGTAATTACCAATCGTAATCATTTAATTAATAATTGTTATTAACAACTCTTATCACAGCGACCATCAGTTTATTACTGAAAATTGCGTGTTTTTTTGTTTCATTATAATATTTGTCTTTTTACGTTCAGAAACACATTCATTCACTTTGAAAAGTTCATGTTGAGTTTACGTTTTTTGTTTGTCAATCAAAGTCAGTAAAACTGATGTGGATACAGAGTGATATTCATAAGTGTATCGCTATTTCTTTCTTTTTGTTATCAAATTTTCGTTTGCTCTGTTCGGATGATACCTACAGAATGAAAATGAAATCATTTTGATTTAATACTTATTCTTGTTACAATGATTTTCGATATTAGTTGAATGAGAAACAAAATGAAAAATTATGTAGCCGTGAAAGCGTGCTTAGAATATTGAGTGGGTCGTGTATTCGCATATGTTGGTGCTTTAAATTAATCAAGTGCAATCAACAAACGCATTTTCTTCTTTTTGTTTTAATGAATTTGTCTTAGATAATTATATTTCGCAAACGTTATCGAAATAATTTGCTATAATGTCAGCCTAATCATCACTATCAATTAGTTATCATATATCGATATTGTAATTTCGCGTGCATATTACATATTTGCTTCATATTAAGAACAGGACGCTTACTGGTGCATCGTCCACGAAATGTGGCCTCGCAGAAGTAAGTTGGACGTACCGTAAAGGAGGGGTGCATTTTGCCGCGTACCTTTAGTGCCTTGGACTAAATCGTAATTTCTTCCACTAGTTACGACAATAACGTGCTATCAAATTTCGTAGTCAAACAGACATTATGTTTTTTACTAGTATCGATCGCTAACAATGCTATTATAGTTAATGATTTTGATGATGATTTTACATGTTAATTATCTAAAATCTCTTTATCGCAAATTACGAACAACTCTTGATTGTTTAAAGTTTCTTAACGATGTCCGACGACTGAAACGAATCGTGCTAATTATGAATGTCTACCTAATTCATCGTTTCGTTTAGGCCTAATATTATTTATTTACTTTCTTACGAAATGTCTCGTTATTTACCTGCTCTATTTAGTGATAGTATTAGAAAGTTATCAAGTAAGGTGATTCAAATTTACAGTGACCATGAAAGAAATTTCAATTTTGAATTTTACTCAATTCTGAACATTAGTTGAGAAATGCAATCAAATGCTTCCATTTTATGAAGCATTACTGAACATCTAAGAGTGCAAGAGAAAGATGTAAGAGTTTAGCAATTGCATAAAGAATCAACCGTATTTTCTTAAATATTGAAAACGCTAATCGATGCAAAATCATTGAATGCTAGTCATAGTTAAATTGGATAATCACGTTTAGCTACCTGTTCACATTATTCCGTTTCAGTTTGGCACGTATCGCGTAAATTTGATTCGTTTGTTAACTATCATTAATCTTGGTCTATGCTTAATTTATAAGTTAACTTGTATATCAAGTAAATGGATTTCCGAGGATTGTTTTGCTGTCAGGTCGATCTACACTTCTAAAGGATTGACACATCGCTTACATGTATGATTTCGGTACAGTGCTACTTAAATGGCTTAACAAATTTCGAGGCTGAAGTTATGTAATGGAGTTTCTTTATAGATGGGGCACTAAGTTCAACTCTATGAAGTATTTTAGTGAATTGTAAGTCAATTTCTATTCACCACAACCACAAGAATTCTTGGTCTACTGTGTTTTCGTACCTTTTGTTTTTGGTGTCTCTTGTCGTTTTATTCAACTAGTAAATGCAACGTAATATGCTAATTTTACGAACTATATTTTACACAATTCATTGGCGAACTTCATAACTATAAGATCGTGAAAAAATATAAGGCAAATAATTATAAAATAAAGAGAGAAAGTAACTTAAAGATAATGGTTTATAGTGTAGATGAGTTTTACAAGTACATAATAAAAATGAACCAAATGAATCATACCAATGTTATGAATTCCTTGTAAACAATTCTAACATTTTAATTAAAAATTAAGAGCACATGAAATCACATGAAATTTTCCGGCATATTATCATAAAATCAAAGTAAACTTAGCAGAAGTTTGCTTGTTGGCAGCACAATGCCAGCTTCAGTCCACCGAATGACTGCAAACATATAAATTTACAGCATTTACAGCCCATAGTTTTTAATTAAGAACTACAATCTGTGACCAGATACATGTTTCGTTTTACTAGTCTTTTATATGACAAATTTACAGTTGAACTACAATTGAAGACTGCAATCAGGCGCCACACAAATCTCTCGTTAACACTGAGTTCAACTACGAATCAATTCAGAAGATACTAGAATCACACACATGGCAGCATACTGATTTCTATTGCAGTGCACAGTGATCCTCTATCGACATTTACCGACTTTTTTGCGTGCCATCATAATGCAGTCTTTCATTTGCTTCATTTAGTGGTTAACATCAATCATATAAATAATAATCATGTTACAAGTAATGCATATTTCATTATCAGTATATCATCATCGTAATTAATAGTATCGACATTCGTCTCCTTGCAACAACTCTTCGTTTTAATATTTTCTTCATATTTTCATTATAATAGTATATTTTATAATTGAGCACCATGGAAGGAATGGATCTATTTTCAAAATTTCATTTTAGGTTTGTTTATCAATGCAATTTCATTATTTGTTAGCCAATTTTTATGTTTGTCAGCTGATCGTTTGCACTTTAGCCCTTTTTTGCATCATCCATTGTTTGCCAGTTCACGCAAAAACTATAAACATAAATCAAAACTTCCGGCTCATGAAGATGAAGAATTTTCTTCGATGCGCTCATTCACGTAATGTTAACTGGTGACTATATGTACGTAATATGAAAGATGAATATGTACAATTGGTACAAAACTCCATTGTAAAATTAGCCCTTAAAAAAAGAGAACGCTCCATTATCATAAAAATTATAATCACTAAACGAATAAGACAATAATTATAAAAAAATAATTATAAGACTTAAAAACATAATAAAATATAATCCGGCATTGATTGCGTACGCGATATGTACGCAGCGATTCACATAATTCTTCATTTATTTAGATAGTAGCTGTACATTGGTGAAGCACGTTCTGGCTGACAGCGTCAGCTCCAGGTAATGTCTTCTATCGCAGACCTATCGCATCCTTGATTCGTTAAACTTATGTTGTTGTAAAAATAGTGTCGTGGGTGGCGACTCCGCAAGAGATGAAGAGCAAGTGTAGCACAGTCAAGCCAGGTCATTGTGTTTTAAGTGTGTTCGGTTGGTATCTTGTAGCATTTTCGTCGGTGTGAAATTTCGTGAAATCATTGCTTACAATAGTTGTTTAGAGTTTATTTAATATAGGTATTGTTCCTGAGTTTGCGTCGCAACTCGCTTTACTTCGGTCGCGGTTTGAAAAACGACATTTCGGTATGTAAGTGCACACCTTCAACACTGAATATTGACACATCTAGAAATAATCAATAAATTAGTAAGTGAAACCAAAAGGTTTTGTTTGTGTAACTATTTTAAATAGAATCTGACATACCGTCCGGGAGTTCGTGTAGTTTCTTAGGTAATCCGGCGAAATACTGATGCTGCATGGCATCGTCAGCACCTATCCGATTCTCAGGGTTCAACTGCAAAAGAGAGGAGGCCATCGCTTCGCCCTGCGCGATGTCGAACAGTCGCGGCCAATAAATGCCCAAGTTCTTAGGTCTATATAGCACTAGTTTATGTGGCTTGTAGCCGGGCAATCGCGTCACACCGTCCCATGTTTCCTCTGTCGGCGTACCAAGCACCTGAACAACACAACAACAATAAATAAAAATCACATCCATACATATTAAAACTAAAGTAATATTACCTTAAATATCTTGTCAAGCTGGTCGTACGTGTCGCGGTTACCGGGGAAAATGGCCATGCCGGTGATCATCTCAACGAAGATACAACCGACGCCCCACATGTCCAGCGACGTCGAGTACTCTGTACTGCCCAGCAATACGTCTGGTGGCCGGTACCAAAGCGTCACCACCTCGTTGGAGTAGGTGTGGCTGGGCACGGACTTGGCTCGGGCAAGACCGAAGTCGGCTAGCTTCAGTTCGCCGATCTCGCTGATCAGCAGATTCTGCGGCTTAACGTCGCGATGCAGGACGCGGCGCGCATGGCAGTATGATAGTCCCCGCAGTAATTGAAAAAGAAACAGTCTGACATTGCGTGGATCCAGGCCTCCGCTATGTCGCTCCAGGTACTGTGATAAGTCTGTATGCTGCATTAGAGAATAAAAAAAAAATCAATTTACCATCTCATTAGGATGCAGATAATTTGATATACTTACAACAAATTCAAACACAAACGTAAGCGTTTCTCGCGTATGTACAATGTCATGTAAAGTGACAATGTTGGCGTGTTTCAGTTCTTTGAGAAGGGAAGCCTCCCGAATGGCCGTGAAGGGAGCACCCTCCTCCTCTTGCAGCCGAATTTCTTTCAATGCTACTACTTGATTTTTTAAACTGTAAACAAACAGAGCGCAAACAAACCCAATTAGAATCCTGGCTGGCGTTGCGCTTGTTGCCAACGAGCGCACCCTTTCGAAAGGGTGAGCGCGCGCGCAATAATCGCTTCGCTAATCTGCTAATTATAACAGCGAGCGAGGAAAATTAATGGGGGTGGCATACGTACTTGCTAAAACCCTTATAAACAGTTGCGTACGATCCCTCGCCTAATTGTTCTAATTTAATGTAAGCCTCGGACTTTCCAAACGGCGAATCGCCCTGCGACAAAAACAAAGACATTAATTCATGTGGCCGGGAAGCCAAAGTTCGAAAACGTTTCCAATTAAATGATTACCACTACAACTGCGTCATCTAAGTCATCGACACCGATGAAAGCCACCGCATTGAGTTCGTTTGCGAAAATAAAGCAATAAAACCTCTCGCTTAACGTTCGCACATGCACGAATGCGCAAGGGAAGATAACAACCGACGATAAAACACAACGCAGATCAATTAGACTCAGAGTCTTTTTTATTGAATTCTTTCTAATGCGTCCTTTGTCTCCGCGCTTAGAACGCAATGAGCGACTCAAGAAAAAACGGGTCATAAACATTCACAGCGTATGTTTGAATGACTACTTTTTTTATTCGCATTGAAGTCACGTAGGTGCAATTCACCGAGACGCGGGTGCATTTTAAATTTGACGATGGCCGTTGCTTCCGGAAACGCGGCAACAAACGCGTCTGGTTTCCCATTCAGGGCAACCCAGTGATTAGGTATATTCCGAGCGCCGGGAGGTGGGCGCAAATACTTTCTTTAACTGAAGTCCGGCTGCACCCTCGCAGGCGTCTAGACGACCTGATCCTGACCCGTGATACGTGACGCTTTTTTCAAAGCACCACATTAGCAAAATTAATATTATAAAATAAAATAGGAGAGGTAAATAAAGGAAATAGCCATGGAAATTAAGTGCGCTCATTTCATTGGATTCGCTAATTTCGTTGCCTTCGTTTTAGTAGCGCTGGAAGTTTAATGATTTTACTCGTAATGGAAGAGAATGGGTCGCGGATGGCGCTCTGCCAGAGGGATATTTGTTTGTTTGTTGATTGAGTGCGTATTTCGCCCGCGGCTTTGATTTTAATTGAATAAAGAAGCGCGCCTTGCTGAACGAAGAGAATTCCCATCTGGATGGATGTCATAGGGCGATTTGCAAAAGCGGCGCGAAACGAACTCAGGACACAACTGGGTTATTTACTAATTAGGCGCGTCGCTAAAGTGCCCCAAGCTGCTGTCATCGTATACATCCGGGACTAACAAGCGAGGATAACAAGGGGCGAGGTGAGAATAACAGAAAATAACAAAATAATTTATCAACATTCCCAGAAACAAAAAAAAATTATAGTAAAAAATTCTGAAATTTGGAAATGTATAAAAGCTAAAAATGCCGCTTGAAAAAGGATCATAAAGTATGTTACGAGGTTAGGTAATATGCGGGCATCGTTTGCATTCGTTTCTCATAAACTTTGGAAGCATTTGGTCGTGATCGATGAACGCGATCGCTGCGAGTGCAGTCGAGGTGTAATAATTCCCAAGGTTTGACTTGCAAAGAAAAAAAACGCTGGAGATCGATTGCTCCACTGCCCAGACTTCGCTCTGGTATGAAAAATGTTCCAACCGCAAAAATATGATGCGATGGCTTTACAAGAAACTCATTTCGCCGCAAGTCTACAGACATAAATACTTAATGTTGATTTATATACGCGTTTGAACCCTTAGGATCTCATGAAACGTTTGCGCCAACTTCAAAATGGGCAACAGAATTTATTTGCTCAATACAGTTGTAATGGTGTTTTAATAAACACAAAAAATAAGTTGGGTGTAAACATTACTTACCCCGAAAGCAGAGAAGCGCTTCATCCGGCGATGGTCCGACCCCTGATTGAGAAGCACCTCCGACTTGGGTCTCGGGGGCTTTTTCGGTCTGAGGATCACGCGCGTCTCCTCCCTGATGTCGTCATCCAACAGCTTGCTGTCCGACGAGACGGAGAGCTGTCGCTTTACCCTGTCGTGACCCGACATGTTGTTCCATTCTGCAACAAAGCGAAAAAACGCGTAAATAAGATACGAAGAGAGAGATTTACGTATAGACAAATTGCACGTCGTTCGCTCCAGAGCTAACGGCAAAAAATTAGATAAATCGGTAAGCAACAAAAAATCGAGAAGAGAAAATTGTCAAGGGGTGGATAAAACCATTGGATTGACACTTTAATTTCGTCTGAAAGACATTTCAAATGGAAATAAAAGATGAGCTGTGTGTATATTGCGAATGTAAATGTGGAAATATAGAAACGCGTTAATGTCACACACAATTGAGACGAGTAGTAAAGCAGTAAAATCTTAGTTATGATCGTTATAAGGAAGAATATAAAGACATAAAGCAAACACGCTAGAGACCATGACTGCGGATGAAATAAACTTACAGTTACAAGGAATATTATTGGATATTAAATTTCGGTTCATAATAACTTGACTAAAAGGACATTAAAGTAAAATATCAAACAAGTTTCACGAAGTTAATTCAAACAAAAGAAATTCCTAGATAAAACTGTCCATAACAACCTGTAGGTGCGACTATATTCTAATCCCTAGGGCATACTGAGGCTGCCTCTTAAAAACACTTTAATTTTTAATCTTCGGAACTTTACGCCGTAAATTTCACGTCGCTATCCTGCAGTTTCGCAGTAACTAAACATGCAGTTGGTTCACGTATGCAACGCAATGCAATCATATTTACTCAACGACTTTTATTTGCCCCTTTTCGTGATTTTTTTCTTCTTTCGTATGGCGTTTTTCGTTCTATATTAAATTTGGCTGGTCGTGGAGCGCTGCATTTTACGCCATATCTGCCTCTGTCACTTTGTTGCATTGTTCATGCACGCCACACATTTCATCCGACTATGATTCATAAAGCAACGAGGTTAAGTTAAATTGTAAAATGTAACTAAATTGCACCAGACAGTAGAAAACAGTGTGACACCAACATTAAAATTTCCCAAAAATAGTGTTGTTTTAAATTTAAGCCCAAAAATAAGTATAACCATATGAAAAAGAAAGGATTTTAATTTTAAAATGTCAATTAAGATTAAAATTTGTAAACGAACATCTTGAACGTTGAAATTCGCAATTTTAAACGAATTTCACCCCCATGAAAGCAAACAAAACGAAAAGCGATATCGCTTATTAACGCTAATTAGTTTTTTTTGCGCTCGCAAACGACGCAAACACCATTCACAAAATGCGCCTTAGAAACGTGAAGAGGTTCACTTCGTTCAGTTAATGCGAGACCTGTGGAGTAACCTCCGCGACGCTTCTCTTATCGCAAAGACGGAAAGGGCAAGGGCGGGCAGGAAAGAGCATATAATACTAAAACGTAACGAGCACGAGAGCACGTCGTTACGGTCTCAATTTGAGCAGCGGCGTAATGTGCGTGTACGCCGCATTGAACACTCGAGCGTGCATCCTGCACGGGCGCCCATCATCAAGAAGGCGGCTGGAGACGTCTGCGTACGCGGTACCAATTAGCGCCGCCATCGTGCCGCACAAAGCGTTGTAAAATATCCGCTTTCAAGTGGCAGGTGAACGAGGGCTTTCAACTATTGACGATTAACGGGATGTCTTCCTGCGATAAGACGACTGATTCTCATGTGGGAGATGAACAGGCAAATTAACAGTTACTTTAGAAGTTATATTGATAATTATTAAGTTCAAGTTAAAATATTTTAGGGATAATAATTACGGCTACCCTCGGTATATTACCCACAAAGGTCACGCAAATAAAGCTAATCGCGTTGCGATCGCAATAGTGTTCGAATTGCAATGGAACAGCGTCAAAATTGGTGGAGGCGACGGGTTACCGCCGCACATTTAAATGCACCACACAATAAACGCAATAATGTATGTAGATAAAGCGCGACCGCCGGCGGCGGCGGACGTTATCAAATTGTCTGCGCATTTTGCACACGATGGAATGAACCAAGCTCCAAACGTGTACATCGTACAAATGAACATTCAATCCTATGAAAAAACTATCCAAACCAGACACAGAACTAATTAATACAAACAAAATTAATTACGCTAACAGTAATTTAATACGCCGCTATTATCAAAACTCGGGATTTTACTCGATTCCGATTGTTATAAAGTTTAAATCGCTCGTCGTTTTAACACCAAGGAAGCGATTTACCGAAGCAAAGAGGTGATCGGATCGTTCCAGATTGGAAGTTAAATTGAAGGCGAAAACGTGATGGGTAATGCGAGATTTCCAATCTAAATCGCAATCTCGTCGACGTCACCGCCGCCGTCGTCGACTCCACTGGTTTACAGTTACTCGTGCGCAAAGCGCCGAACCTCATTGTCTTATTTTCATCATTTTCTAATGCACCGCGTCCCAATCGCACGCCTTTCAGACTTCGTCAAAATATAACACCGTATTATCGGACCATTTGTCAAATTATCCTTAGACGACGAGACCTCGATGATCGGATTGCCAGCTGTCGCTCGCGGAATTAATCATACGCCTGGGTGTGTCTCGTGTGATGAGACAAAACATCATTCCGTGAAATTAGCACATCACTTACGTAGATGTGTGTTGTGTGTATGTTGACCAGTGCACACGTCCACGCTATTGTAATCAATCGTAATCAGTGCAATCGCAAATCTATTGTTGCCGCAAGCAACGCATTATGCATGTATTATGCATGCGATGCGAATATATTTATGACGCAATAATGTGCGTCATTACGTGCTGTTATTGATTGGTGTTCAATACGCTTTGATTTCATGCGCATTTCTCCTTTGCATTTTACGGAATTAATTAAAGTACAATCAACACTATTATGCGGAAATCCGAATAATCTGAGCAAACATATTCAGGGTAATAACATCAATACAGTACACGATTCAGTGGAATGAAGGTAAATGTTTGTACGTATTCGGAAATCAGAGAAATGCTCACAGGGTTCGCAGAAACATAATTAACTGAATGCATATTTAGAAATTGCATGCATCAATTTGACATAGCGTAATATCCAATTTCCGAAAGTCATTTTAACTTTGTACCTATGTTCTTCCCCGAAAACTTTGCCGCCAACTTCTCTATTATTATGTCTAATAGTAATATGTTTCAGTGCAAAGATGGCACGCTAGTTATTAATGCGGCAAATTGACGCCGCGCAGAATAAGTTCCAGTTGGCGCGAACTGTAGCCAGCGCGCGCCGCCTTCCCGGCCGGAAAATTATAGCTTCGATTAACTCGGTAATTAATTATTAGCCGCGCGCGATCCGCCTCGCCTCTGTCGGCTTTTAAAACCCGAGGCGTTACTTCTGCAAAGTCCTATAACGCCGTAAACACGCAGGCTTAACATCTGCCACTTAGACAACTAATAAGTCATCTTAATTTTCATTTTAACGTTGATATAAATACACTCGTTACTCTAGAATGCAGTAAACGGCGGAGAGAAAATTAAAGCATGTGAAGTATAGACATGTGATAATAAATATTGCAGCAGAGTCTGGAGGCAGATAAGAAGTTGAAGTTTGTTGCAACATAAATCATTTTCATTGGCATAATGAATTTTTGATGCCGCGCACTGCACTTTGACGTTCGTCGTTACGTCTTTCTTGTAGGTTTTACTGTGTTTCATACAAGTTCCCATTCGGAAGCTTTGAAAAGTTTACAACAAAAGCGTCATATTCGTCCGGGATATATAACAAACATATGTTATAATGTGAAGTCGTAACAAAGTTTTATGTTTCTTCAAACTCTGAAGTCATATTGAGCAAACAAACAAACTTTTAAAGTTTCATAAGATTTATGAAAATAAAATTTATAAATTATAACCAAAATATACCTATTTGAGCTCTAAATATTATATTTTCTATGACAATCATCTTGTGTCGTAATAAATGTCTCACATCTATACAAATATCGCCCAACATCTCATCAGAATCATTTGCAGACAGTTTATTGCGGAAGTTGAAAAGTCTCTGTCAAATAGTCGTCGCTGACTAACCGACGCCAAGTGAATATTACGTATTCTATTTTCCGCAATAATCCCAGACGCAAAACAATAACGCATAACAATAACTGGTACGCGACATGCGGGCAAAGTTGCAAAGTGCTTAACCGAAACTATCATCAACCCGCCGCGCGATGCTTGTAATTGTTGACAGTCGTTAATAAGTTTGCGTTTAATAAGTGCGCACAACTGCCATCCACAAGCACCAGTCTCGAGAAGTCATCACAGTCATAATCAGCCAAATTGTTTGTAGCAACACAATACACAATATAAATGCAAATATTCATAAAATATTTTAATACTTTTAATACAAACTTCTTTTTCTATTTTTAAGTAAAAACGTGTCTCAAAAGTGGCAATGACTCTGCTCGCAGACATGAATTTTGCTGAACAGAATGCCCGCCGGGCTTTAATTAATGCAGCGTGATTAAAATCGGCTAATGAAGTATTTATCAAGCGTCGCGACGCAGGAGCATCGCTTGTTTGCATTCGGTTGGCTCATCGCGCTATCGATGTCCGCACCGCTCATGAAATTACCAAGTGCAATCAAAACTTTGCCACTTTCGCATTTAACATTAATACAATTAAAGGCAAATTCATGATATTGAGAATATTTCGTATAATGAGCTCAAATAAGATTTCTACTCGAAATAGTAAACTAATTTTGACGCTGGGTTGGCACAATATTATCCATGCAGAAAGTGTTCGCTTTATCCACCCTCCAGACAAATTTAATTTCCTTGGCGCTTTTTTCCGTCTCGTGTTTGCGCTTTGTGCCTGCATTTTCCATGAGCGTTCTTTATTTCTAGCTTTAAATCCTCTCATTCCTCTCATATTTGATCACAAAGTTCTTTCATCCACCGGTATTTAAGTTAAGCAAAAAATGTTATTAAATATTTTAAAAAATCAACAAGAACTTAATTAAAACTGTTTATTAGTTATAGTTTTGTTTGTAAATTCCAAAAGTTATTTAATATTTCTACCTACGCAGTAAATTGAAAAACTAATAAATAA